TTAGTTTTTATTTCTCCCTCATTTTTTCCGCAAGCTTTTAGCCATTGCTGGAGAATAACAGGTTCTTTTGGAAATTGGAAAAATTTTATATTTTTTGTCACCGTACGATCGGTGCAATTTTGAATATAACAGGTTGGCATTGTGCTAAAAAAAAGAAAATATATATAATTATAAAGACAGAGAATGAGACAGAGCTTATACTGACAGACAATATAAGCATGCAGCATCGTCTGACAGAGAAGCTTTTGATTCTTAAGGCCGCCGTAAAATCGAAAATATAAGAAACAGGGAACATATATTAGTAATTAGAAAGAAGGAATGATCAATAAGGAACAGATCAACGCAAAATAAAATATAAAATATATAAACGATAGATTTCATAGCCTGTACATACTACGTAACCTAAACTGGAAAATTGAAAAAAAAAAGTTACTTTCAACAGTCAAAAAATATAATCCTTATTCCTTATCTCTAATATCTGTTCCCTATTCCTTATGTTTTTGATTGTGCGGCGGCTTTTATTGTGTTGTCTTTATAAAAATTATACTTACACTATGTTTTAAACGTTTTGCTCTTCCTTATGCTGCGTTTCCACTACACGCGTCGAGCGTCGCGTCACGACGCCGCGTCATGAGTTATCCAATCAAAACGTTTTATTTTATGACGTCATTTCCGACGCAAGATTTTGTCGGAAATGACGTCATAAAATGAAACGTTTTGATTGGATAACTCATGACGCGGCGTCGTGACGCAACGCGCGACGCGTGTAGTGGGAACGCAGCATTACGCGTGTTTATTACTCGTCTTCTTTATGACAGTAGCCATATTGGATTTGAACATTTCTGGTCATTTCTCATTGGCTATTATTTAGGACGACTGCGCATCCACGGGACTGGTACACCTTTATATTTACATCATGGTCTTACGTCTTCAGTCGATTCGTGTGTCCGGGGCTTTACTACAGCTGTAGATCGGGCATATATGTCTGACTGTACCGTCTGTTTGTTCTTGCAACATATCATGCCGATATTGCCGATGATTTGGTTTTTGGAGTTTCCACCGGAAAGCTTCGTATGTTAATTTATTGAAGTGAAGCCACTTCTTATGATGAATAAATTAGACACCGTATTGTCGAACGTTGACGTGGACGATCCAAGATTTCGTATTAGACCATATCAACAAATCGTGGCTTCTTGTACTGGTGCATTCATTACATCAATATTTGGTAAGTTTGTGCGCAAACGATACTACATGATAACTGGATAATTATATAATTTAGGGCTTTTATTTTCTCAGTGATATATTTATATAATTTTATAAAAATGCTTATTATTTTTTATATAAATAGGTTCTGTATAAAACAATTAATACTTAAAAAGGGTATTATCTTTATTTTCAAAAGGTTATGTTATTTGGAAATCGTTAGCTTATGAAAATCGTTAGATTGCATTTTATGTTGTCTATCATATAAAATATCCCTTTGAAATGAAATATACATCTTTTAGTTTTTATTTAAAAGTGACATTTTTGTTTTAATTTCTTGATTGGTTATGCAATCATTTCTTTCGTAAATCAAATTTTGAATATTTATATTTTTCTGATATTTTTAGTGACTCCGTTGGACGTAGTAAAAATACGTCTTCAAACACAGCAGAAAGCAATGCTTTCAAATAAATGTTTTTTATATTGCAATGGTTTAATGGATCATTTGTGTCCTTGTGTCAATGGTAAAATGCCTGAATGGATGAGAAGAAATGGAAAATTTAATGGGACAGTTGTACGTGATAACTATATAATTATGACACAATTTAAGATTTCTATTTTCATATTAAGTTATGATATTTGAAATCTAAAATCATAAAAAATTTTTTCTCATATTACATATCAAACCAAATTAACATTTCTATAATTTTTTAATATGGATTGATAAGGTGTATCAAAAATTTTTCTGGCATGGATATTAAGATAACTATAAACGTTGATAAGATGTAAGATTTAATTCTGTTGAAAGTAAAGAATACATGCTGATTAAATTACAAATGTTTACTTAAACAGAGAAAAAAAAGTTTGATATATTTTAATCTATATTTTCACATGTATGTACAAAAAAGTAATTTATTTTAACGAAAAATATAAGAAAAAGCTTCATATTATTCGTTTCTGATATCATAATGAATATACAATGAGATATGATGTCATAATACAATACCTATACAAAAGTAATATAAAAATAACCCTTAGTACAATATGTTAATGTCTGTTATTTTTATTAATTTTTATTTGTCTTCAGGATGCTTTACTAAAAATAAGTAAAACAGAAGGTGTGGTATCATTATGGAGTGGTTTGAGTCCTACTCTTGTTCTAGCTGTACCTGCAACTGTCGCATACTTTGTTTCATACGAACAGTTAAGATTATATCTTAAGGTATTTCAAGTATTAGAATTTTTATTGTTATAATTCTTTTAGTTTTAATATATTTAATAACACATGAGATACTTGGGAATTTTAGATAAAATATCCAGTATTAAAAATATTATCATCTTTTTAGGATACATACAACAGGGAGTTCAAAAAGAAGGGAACTAATATGGAACAACCTTTTTGGATTCCTATGTTAGCTGGTAGCACAGCACGAATCTGGGCTGCAACATTGGTGAGTCCATTGGAGTTGATAAGAACAAAAATGCAATCACAGAAACTAAGTTATGCAGGTAGGATAAATTAATAATATAATATCAAATCAAATATAATAAAGCTTGATATATAAAATTTTGATGATTTCAAGTATGTTTTATATGTTCTAGAAATAATACAGACATTGAAAACAGTTGTGAGATACAGTGGCATTTCTGGCTTATGGATGGGATTAAGTTCAACGCTTCTTCGTGATGTTCCTTTTAGCGCTATATATTGGTTAAATTATGAAACTATAAAGAAAGTATATAGTTCGTATAGCTCACAACAAACTTTTACTTTTAATCTGGCAGCAGGAGCTATAGCTGGTTCTGTATGTATTTTATAATTAAAAATATAATTAATTGTGTTACAATATTCTATATATTCTGTAAAAATATACTATGTAAATATTATTGCAGATAGCAGCATTTTTCACTATTCCCTTTGATGTGGTAAAAACACACAGACAAATCGAAATGGGTGAAAAAGAAATTTATTCGGGTAAATATAAAATCACACACGCACGCACGCACGCACGCACGCACGCACGCACACACACACACACACACACACACACACACACACACACACGAAATTATTTGCTTCTTATCTAGTTTCATAGTTTTTCAGAACTTATATCAATTAAAGGCGATTTTTGGCGATTGTTTGATATGGTTTGGTACATATACCAAAGTTGCTATCGGTGGTTGCTATTGGTTCTGGTGCAGTTTGGTACCCTTTGGTTGCTTATACCAGAGTCACGCCAAAAATCGCCTTAAGTTGATTAAAAATTAAGCACACTTAAGGCCATTGCACGTAACAAAGTTTTAGTCATAATTGTAAGGCCGTAAGAAAATAGACCAATCACAGTCGATTAGTCTTCTCGAGCTCGAAGAATAATCGAGTGTGATTGGTCTATTTTTTTACGGCCTTACCATTATGACTAAAATTTTGTTACGTGCAATGGCCTTTACTTATATTCAGTTGTGTCTGAAAATTTTATTATTTATCTCATGTACGAGGCATGTCCGGAAAGTAAAAGATACATCGAATGTAGTCCGATAAGGATATTTGTTATGCGTATTATGACTTAACTGGTGTTGACCTTGATTCTTCCGCTTTCTTCTCGCGTTTGTTAGGTGCTAAACAAAGTATTGTTTGAATAACACGTCTTTGAAATAGCTGCGCCGATGTAGAATCCCGCCAAATGCGAGGTGCGTTGAGTGGGACTCAATTGACCACGTCGTCAATTGGCTGATTTAAAATAAAAATATCTGATTGGCTGGTCCAGTGGAAAAACTCCAGGCACCGGGAGCTGTGAGTAGCTGTGGTCAATCGCAACGTGGCCAAACGAGACGTTCCCGTGCGTTCCGTCATAAACAGCGTTCATAAACAGCGACAATTTGTCTGTGAACTTTCGCTGAGCGCTCACCTTTCGCGTTGGGAAAACGTATAACGGAACGCACCTCACATTTGGCAGGATTCTAGACCAGTGCCACTATTTCAAAGACGTGTTACTCGAACAATACTTTGTTTAGCACTACTTAACAAATGCGAGAAGAAAACAGAAGGGTCAACACCAGTTTAGTCATAATACGCATAACAAATATCTCTATCGGCCTACATGCGATGTATCTTTATTACTTTCCGGACACGCCTCGTATATATCAGAATTTATGTCACTTAAAATAAAAGTTTATCATATAAAATTTATTATAAATTTTTAGATAAACCTATTCGCAGTAGTACTACATGGACTATAATACAAAGAATCTATCATCAAAATGGATTGAAAGGTTTATTCACAGGATTAACGCCACGTTTGGTGAAAGTAGCCCCAGCCTGTGCAATTATGATCGCAACTTTCGAACATGGCAAGCGTTTCTTTCAATCGTACAATGCTAGGAAGGCTATTGAATTTGAAATTGAACGTGACATACATTTATTGCAACACAAACCTAATAGTACAGAATGATATGCTTGCTACAGGCAAATGTACAGAATTACAATAAAGTTATGTATCAAATTTAATCTTTAATTTTGTATAGTTATTAATTGAGATAAGTTTACATTATAATTTTTATAATTTCCATCGATTATTTTGCATAAAATTAAGAAAGAAAGGATATCATATTGTTGCATCTTGTATGTATGTATGTACATACAGTGAAGAGCTGAAATGCGATATGGTTCAAGTGAGTTTAAGTGTATTATAGTGAGTCAAACTGCGTTTGCATCGAGCTTTTTCCGCCACAAGTTTTGCCGCGCTTTCTCCTCCACAAATTGGCCGCTAAAAATTTAATTTATTTCGATATGTAGCACAAAGAAAAACATTCATACGATTTCTCGATTCGATACTATTTACTACGTTTTCGTTCTGTAGTAACTAACGATAATTCCTTCGCGTAAACGGGATTTTTTGGTGAGGGACATTGATGAGTGTTTTATCGATCAATATAGCAAAATCTTATATATTCCGATAACAAATTTCTTATATGAAAACATAAATTATATATTATATTATTATTATATATAAAATATGTTCATATATGTACACAAATATAAAATTATACATATATATTTTTATATAAAGTTTTTTATCGAATACTTTTGCATTTATACATATCTTTATGTGTGGCAGTCTGTATAATACTGAAATAGAGAATTAAAATTCGATTAACTTAATTAATAATTAATTTATCAAGTAATACTTGTAGTATTTTGTTAACATATAATTATTATTGTTTTGTTATTTAACGTAATGGAGAAAAAATTAGATCAGGAACAATAAATATTACATTATATGTTATTATTATATTAAATTATATAATTAGAAATTTTACTTTAAGCTTTAAAGTGTAACATCACAAAAAAAGTTGTTTGAAAGTTTTAATTAACTTTTTTTTCAAGTGCTTGCCATTTCTCTAAAAAACAATATTTTAAAATTTTTCTACGTATTTCTGTAGCTATTATCATGTAGATTATGAAAAATTTTGGTCTTTTGTTCTAGGTCAAAATTTATTTGCGGCATTTATACTGCAAGCCCTGGAGCAGTTCCCGCAAAGAAACGTTTATATGCTTACAATAAGGCTCCAGAGCGCCACCATTTAAAAAATAAAAAATTGTTTTATGCACTTTAAACATGTACAATAAAGTCCTTTAAATAGATTTTTGATTTACTTTCTTTTTTAACCACAAAAAATTTTTCTATTTTTTGGGCTTCTAGGACGTATGTGAAATTGGCCCCGCACTTTTTGAATTCTGTATTTTTAATAATTGTGCTACATTGTGCTACGTTTGTGCTGTAATAACTTCGATAACAATTAAGAAAAAAAAATAAAAACAAAATTATATTAGCCCCGCACTTTTCCCGAAATAGACCCAATTTTTTTTGTTGATGGGTAGTAATTTGTGCCACGTTGTGCCATGCCGTTGGAATAAACTCGATATCTCTTTTCATTTGGCAGATAAAAAATATTAAATCTCAAAAACAAAATAACAAATAATTATTTTTAAAACGCATTTACCGAACTTCTGTAAGCTGTGCTGAGTTTCGCTAGATGAGTACAACAAAGAAATGGCCGGAGATGCATAGAAAGTTGTAGGGGTTGAAAATAATGGGCTAAGGGAGGGGAGGAAATGAGGGTGAAAAAAAAACTTTACATTTTTAAATTTTGTAAAATTGTGCCGGATTGTGTGCTCGGTGAGTACAATAACTTTTCCTAATGACAAAATGTCCGCAAATTGTTAGTTTACGCAGCACAAGTATCTAAAGAAAGCAGTTTTTAGGAATTACAATTTTCAAACCGCTATAACATTTGAACCGTGACAGGGAAATTTTGCGACTTGTGCTGAATTGTACTAGTCGAACACAACAAGAAAACGGCTAAAAAAGAATCGAAAGTTGCAGGGGTTAAAAATAATGAGCCAAAGGGGATGGAGGTAAGAAAGAAATTTCTTTTTTTCAAATTTTTTAAAATTGTGCCGGATTGTGCTAAACGAGTACAA